AAAAGCAGCAAATGTGGGGCTACGAGCCAATGTATTGACTCATATGTATATCAGAATAAAATTTTATGAAATGCTCTTTCATATGATGTCCTATTGATTTCTATCCATCGCGTACTTTTGGCGGTGTGGCCAAAACAAATGATGACCTTACTTTTGGGACACCCGGTACATCGATTGATGTGCTTTGGATCGCAATTCCCCATATATGCAAATTCAAGAGCTGATGTGCAAGCTATTTTTCCTTACCGTAGATGACCTGAGCTCATCGCGTGACCTTTAGACGTAATATTGGTAGTGGAGGCCATACCGAGTCGTTTGGTGCCGTTTTCAGCTCTGTAGTTCTACTGGATGGGTCGCAATCTGCCGTGTAATTTTGGGGTGCCGTGGCCTTTTCTGATCTCTGTAGGTCAAACAGCTTGGGGTGCCATCGAATGGTATCAAACACGTATTTTCTATCACAAGGACTCTGTGTTGTTGGGCTGTCATGACGCAAGGTTATTTGTCAGAGCAATGCCTAGCCTCAAATAATCAACAAGCGCACTCATGTAGCACAACATGATAATGCATCACCGGGAACATTCGCTACTCACATCGTGGTCGTTACTAATATCTTATAATATTTTCGTGGCTTTTTTAGAAATCATGAGTTTTTAATCTTTACAATCGGAGGCAATTTTTATAAACATTTTTTTTTCTTCAATTCGGTTTGCTGCAATTAAAACACATTTCGATGTTCATATCGGCAAGAAATAAAAGAGTAGCCTACCACGCCTTCCTCTTATACTCGCTTATCCATTCGCTTTGTTTGCGGTTAACCCGCGCCCTGCTGGAGGGGGGGGGGGGTGTTTGAACACCCCCCCTTGTGGTTTTTCGCGAATATCTCAAAACACCTTATCATACATCAATTCTACACATGTTGTGAAAATTTCAGACCAAGGTCATTCAAGGTCAGGTCACCAGGTCACTTGAAGTGACCTCACCTCATAAAAAGTTTCAATGTCTGTCATAGCTACACCGAGTGACCGATCGCTTTAAAACTTTCAGCGATTGCTAAGAGCAATAGCACGTACAAAATGTATATCTCAGAATTTTGATATCGATGACTTAAGGTCAGGTCAATTTTGCGACCTCCCCATTATAAGTCAATGGGAGAAAATTGAAATGCGCCTCTTTTGGACGAAAGACATTATAAACACTCCCAAATACCGAATTACAAGTGGTTTAGACACACAGAACATGAAAATGGTGTCCGTGACCCTTGTTTATGCCCTGAGGTCATCTTAGGTCACGAATGGTATCTAACAGTTTTTCGCAAATAACTTTTGATAGAGGCATGCTAGAGCGATGAAAACGCCTTAGATGTGTTCAGCTCGACGATACAGATCGACTGATATGCAGCATGACCCTCTCCGGTCAGGTCATGACCTTGACCTGAGGTCAAATTTTCAAGTTGACCTTTCAAGGTCAAGTTATAGTTCATTCGATGCGTCTTGACGAGAGGAACACGATGCCGGTAAAAGTAAGCTCGTACAAGGCTTGGGTCAAAAGTTATTGCAGAAAAACTATTGCCGAAAAAATCGGCTATTTTTGCAGTTTTTGCCCCCTGCAGGCAAAACCGTTGACGTTAGGTCAAATCTGAGAGAATTACTCAGAAAGGGCTATCGAATGCGCTTTTCCGCGGCGCTGTAGCTCTATTGGTTCCCGAGTTATGCGTTGGCTTCTTGGAAATTTTCGACATTCGACCTGGAAATCGGCGAAATTTCGCCTTCTATGACCTTTGGTGACCTGACCTTTGACCTGACCAAAAAATTGACCGAAGTGATTTCGTCTTTATTTTTGACGCTCTTTCGAACGCCGCATTCCGCGTATCGCTACGTGGCCCAGGAGCCGAGTTACAAGGGGGGGGGGGTGTTCAAACACCCCCCCCCCCCAGCAGGGCGTGGAAATCCAGGACCCCCAGCCGGGAGCGGGTTAATGATTTGCTCCCTCATAGCCGTAAGCTTAGGTACTAGAACCGAGAATTGTTTTGTTTAACCCTCGCCGGACCTATTGGTTTTCTACATACGCGCCGGCCGAGGGGGGGGGGGCGGGTACGACCCCCTCCCTCGCCGTTTCGCCCCTGGTGGAGCTAGCGCGTCGCGGAAAAAACGAGCGTGTGCGCCGTTACGAGACGCAGAGATTGGTACCCGATTTTAAGGTCCTAGGTCAACCGGTGACCTCTGAGGTCAGGTCAAGTGCCCCAAGGTACGGTTCAGTTTTTGGTGAATAACTTCGCAAAAAACGGCCGCAGAGCGCCGATTCTGGCAGCATCGTGTTCGTCTCGCTCAGGCGCGTCGAATGATATACTTTTTGTCCGGGTCAGGTCAACTTGGGGTGTTGACCTCAGGTCAAGGTCAGGTCAGCACCCCCAGGTCACGAAGTTGGTCGAAAGAGGTCATGTTGCATATCATTCGATTCGGCAGGTCTTCCTGAGCCCATTGGTGGCTTTCCCGACTCGCTAGCTCAATTTGATCAAGAGTTATTGACGAAAAACTAATATGACCTTGATGACGTCATAAATGACGTCACGCAAGGTCAACATTGCAAAAGTGACGCATCTAACCTTGCAAGGAGTGCATAAAATCACGATTCTGTGTGCTTGAGATAGTTGGAGATCGTTCCCGGCGCCAGAATAGCAGTTTTCATTTTTCCCCATTGACTTATAATGGTGAGGTCACGAAAATGACCTGACCTCATATGACCTTTAGGAAAAATCTGAGATATGCAAGTTGTGGGACTCATAATGGATACTAGATCCTGCAAGTTTCATTTCCCTGTGACATCTCCTCTGGCAGTGAGGGCGTTGCGAAGTTGCGACATCTGAAGACCGTGCAGAGGTTCACTTATGACGTCATAGGTCAGTGACCTGACCTGACCCAAAAATGCGGTTGGTGTCAAAAGATGCGGCTTGGATCAAAGGTCAGGTATGCCAAGTTTCAGCTCTCTATCGCCAGCGTGTTCGGAGCTATCGCGAAAAAACCCTATGGGGGGGCGGCACCCGCCCCCCCCCCCCCCTCGGCCGGCGAGGGTTAAAAAAGCGGTGATTTGATGGCAAAAAACCGCGCGGATTACACCTTCTAAAGATATATTGAAGGTAAAATACTTCAGTTGAAAGGAGTCTGAGGCTTCAGCGAGTTGGTACTTCCCAGGTATCAAATAGGTGCCACCGCGAATATCCCGTCGTGCAAAGACGGCCAAGGTGTATTTGAAATCTGTCATGCTTTTAACAAGAGCAGTAATTACCAATGTCATTGCCTTACGTAAAATTGTCTTAGGTGAAGCTTCTCACACGACAGTTTTGGGGTGCCGACCAAGGGCTGTCCAGTCCATGGCTCCGAACTAGAAAACACGGATGTAAAAGACACGGCAGTGTCACTCCCTCCCTCACAAAGAGCCTACTTGCCCTCTGTACCCTCTTTCTCACGCTGGGAGCCTGTCCGTCAGACCCCTCATCTAAATATAACATCTATCTGGGTCAGCACGGTCCGAGGTTCGGCCTGATATGCCAGTCAACAATGGCGTCGTTTCGTTGGCGAGGGGCGGTGTTTTCGGGTTTGACGGTCCCAGAGGGGCACCTGGTCAGTGCCGATCCGGCGGCGTATGGGAACGCGGAAGCGATGAAAGGAGAGAGGGGGAGGAAGAGAGAGGTAGAGCGGGGAGAAAGTGGCGGCGGCTGCGGCGACTGACCGACGGTCCGAAAAAGATTTTAATCTTCCAGCGGAGCGTGGTAGTTTCATCGGTCCACCCCTTTCAAAACAGGGGACTGTCAGTACTCAGTACCTCATAGTAGAAAGCTGTGAGATCCTGACGGGCTGGCGCATTTATAGAGTGCAGATTTTGTCGTTTCAAGTTACCTTTAATCGTAACTATAATGGTCTAAAAAATTCGGATTCGTGGAGATATTGTTTTAACTCCGACTACCACATGGTATCTGACACCGATTCTAACCACGATTCCGACTCCGGGTAAATTCACTGCCACTGGCGCAATGCTAAATCGCGCCGGTGCGTATGAGGAAGAAGGGGAGGGGGGGGGGCATTGAAACACAGAAGTGTTTTTATCTGGATGCCGCGGCGTTTGTTGGTTGCTGCATATTTTGTCACATTTTTGAAAGATCACCTGCACAGTACAAACTCACGTCATATAAAAGGAACTCTTTGCTGTCTTTTAAAGGGCTGCTGGCCCGAGCAGTGTATCGTCACCGGACATTCAGTTGAATTAAACGCGAGGCCTTTCAAACTCATCGACTGTAGGCAAAAATGTGTGCGAGGTCTCGGCAAAGAAGCACTTTGTTAGCTTTAGCTGTGGTTATCACCTATGAGAACCATAAGTAGCATAATATCATGAATATTGTGACGTTTGCTTACGGCATCCTACGACATAACGACGGGGTCATGCCATCCCTCATCATCTCACCATTTTTCACCATCAGGACAGTGAGAACATGGTGAGTGAAATGTTAAGAAATAAATCATTGCAGCTTAGTGAAAAAATACAGCGTACCTACCTACAGGCAAGGGCATTATAGCAAACAAGCTAGTTTCTTGTGACCATCCAAGTGGTTATGCTTGTTTCGCACATATCACCTAGTACCGATTCGCTCGGAGGAGAAATAGCGAGAGTCGCATCAAATACATACATTCTGCTTGCACCTGGGTCGATGGGTCAGAGTAACCTCTTTGGGAAGACATTTGCTTCGACTCTTCCATGCAGATAATTTATGCTAGACTTCCATATTCACCATATTCACAATCTACTATTTTTATATTAACTTTGCCTACTTTCAAGGCCCGTGACCGGGAAAAAAATTGAGCGGCTCACGGGTAATTCAGCCTTACTTGGAGCGAGCGGCGGGCGGTGGGCTGGCCGGCCGCCAGCTGACCCCTGCCCGGGGCGCCGGCCGGTCACGTGACCTTTCCCGAGGTCACGGCGGGGTCAGCCGCACCGTGCCCCGGCAGATCGGGTCGAGGCGCCGCGCCGGGCGGGCGGGGCCGCGGGACTTCGGATTTTGGCGTCGGCAGATTCTGGTCCTTTGCTGCCGTGCTTTCGCTGGCATTTTAAGTTTTTCGTTCTGTAGACAATTCCACATTCTCTAAACATTGCTTACATTTTAGTATTCTTAGATTGGCTTTGTCATCTGGTACGTAGGTTTGCCTCCTCTTAGGGATTAGTATCTGGGATGATTTTTCACGGCCTGTTATTCAGGTTCCATTGCTCGACGAGTTGTTCCATCTGGTTTGCACGATGACACTCCGTGCACTACACCGCTTACGGTCAAGGCACGCGTATTATATAGTCCAGCAAAGTACCACGTGCTGTAACAATCGGCACTGGACAGTCTGCCCATGGGCGTGCTGACTTGCCATGTAAATGGGCAATCCCCGCTTCTCGTGCTCTATCCATCCACATCCCAGCATTTCCGCTGTGGCATATCGCCTGTGTGTAGCGGCCAGCGATGGTTCCGCCAAAGACCTGACTTAATTTGAAACGAAGCATCATTGAGAACCAGCACCAGCAGAGACATAGGACAGCGACTGATGAGCCATGGTGGGGGGCTTACAGCTCCATTCTCATGCTCTATCCATTCACGTCCCAGCTTCTCTGCTTTGGCCCACATCGCCTGTACGACCAGGTGTATAGTGACCAGTGCTGGCCCTACCAGACAACATTTTACGGACTGGGGCGCCCCATCTCCTACACCCAACACTCGGTGGATTCGACGGACGCTGGTTGATCCGGAAGGATGCTTTGGGTTTATAGGAGTTTATGGACGTCCCGGTTGTAGGGTCCAAACGTCATAAAGACGTCGTTTTAGTTCACTAATCAGCGTCTGATCTAACCATTGCTTCATTTGCTCCACCAGGCTGGTTGATATCGAGTTCTTTATACAACTATCTCTTCCATAAATGCAGCGCTGTGCTCGGCAAGGTTTTGTCCGGGATATCCCCGTTGAAGTAAAACAGAACGTTGCTTCGATTATTTGCGTTATTTAGACAGATCCATCATTTACATTTTTGATTAAACATGTAAGAAACGTACCAAGTCCTATTTTTCCACAATATTGTTTGGAATCGGCGAAAAGTCTCTAGGCTGATCAGTGACTTATCCAGACACATAGACTGCGATTTTTTGGCCATTTCCATTGTCCATAGTCGCTTAGTCTCTGGTACTCTGTGGAGCATATTGTCCCCCGCAGCCACTCAGTCTCTGATACTCTTTGGAGCACCAGATCCATCATAGCCGCTCAGTCTCTGGTACTCTGTGGAGCATATTGTCCCCCGCACCCACTCAGTCTCTGGTACTCTTTGGAGCACCAGTCCATCGTAGCCGCTCAGTCTCTGGTACTCTGTGGAGCATATTGTCCCCCGCACCCACTCAGTCTCTGGTACTCTTTTGAGCACCAGATCCATCGTAGCCGCTCAGCCTCTGGTACTCTGTGGAGCATATTGTCCCCCGCACCCACTCAGTCTCTGGTACTCTTTTGAGCACCAGATCCATCGTAGCCGCTCAGTCTCTGGTACTCTGTGGAGCATATTGGTCCCCCGCAGCCACTCAGTCTCTCCTACTCTGTGGAGCACCGGGTCCCCTCGGATAAGCACAAAGCACTGCTCACCGGCCATGTAGGCTGGTATGCCTGCGACGTTTCCGCGGCCCATGAATTTTATAGTCACAGAGGAGCAACTATATTGATCAGGAGCAAATTGTACATAGTCCCGCTTTATCTCTTTGGCACAGCTTATGTTTCAACTATCTTCCACGAATCACATGGTCATTCCGGGTGTTCTCAAGCCTAAATGGTCTCTAGGTCGCAAGCCGGCATCGATCCCTACTTGTATTGAAGGCTGCCTGCCTGGCTGAGCCACTGGGAGCCCCGTAGACAGCCTGAGCAGAGTTAGCCAACCATATACACGGGCTTGTCAATTGTGTTGCCACGAACCCACAGTTGTGATAAATCCTGGCCTAAAAAATAGTTTCAGGGTAGGGCCAGGCACTGAGCGGTGATCTATCAATGAAGGCAGTTAGCAATTTAACTACAAAACAAACTGTAAATAACTTACTGCAAAAAGTAACTTCCCCTCTGGAGTGGCGTCCGCTTCAGTAGCATCTGCCTGTGGACGGTTGACTGGCTGAGCTGGCTGATTTTCTCTCATGGCTTGCAGCTCATTTGATCCACTATACGCAGGCCGATCCTTAGTTCTTCCCTAGACAACTAGTGAGTTTCCATGAATGTGCTGTGCAAAGTTTTGGCCCGTGAGGCGGATCATGGTCGGGAGTTATCAGTCTCTGGCTAAACCGAAGTGATGGGCAATGAGGGCACAGGTCCGGGCGCCGTTTAATATGGCGACGGAATTGTTTGGGCGATTTACAGAGGTTTCAATTCAAGAAATATTCAACTACATTGATGAAAGTATAGTTACTGCAGGCAGTCATTGCCCGCATCGTAAAATCGCTGACATCACAGAATTTCCAGCGTCGTTCCGCAACCAGCGTCACTTGCATCGACATCCCGTCGGCCAGCCTAGCCCGCCTTAGCCTACAGCTAGACTTTGCTAGGCTAAAACTTCTTGGCCCCGTCCGATCCACTTCATCTTACCTGTGATCATTTTTACGAAGTTGCTACGATAGGCGTCATACATGTGCTGGATTAGTTCGCAAAGTCGACAACGTCCAGGGCCTCCTCTAAGGAATTTTCACTGGGGGGGCCAGAGGCTCAGAAGTCAAACCTAGGGTACCCCCAAATCCAGTTTTCTCATCGGATTTAACCACTTATTTTTCGTTACAGCCCTGATACCATGATTTTCATTTTTAATTTGAAAAAAAAAAATATTCAAGAAATGGTAGGCTACGTCACCCTACTGGTGGATCCAGGCGGCAGGGTCACATTTTAGGTACCTAACGATCCCGGCAACGTCCGAAATCGACGAAAATTTCTGGCTTTTCGACTTTAGAGAATAAAACAAAATCCCTATATTATAGAAAAAATTGTATTAAACGGCACGCAGTGCGTCAGGAATCTAACCAACCGCTAAAAGTGTGAGGGTCAATCTTTCCCACTAACACTGGAATCCATTAACCAACCTGCCTGAAAACAGCTCACTATCCTAAAAAGCTACCTGCCTGAAAATGACTTAAGAAACAGGCCACAGGTCAATAGTAATGAAGGCTAGGACCAGGGTCATTCCAGGAAATGTGCAGCCAATTGATAATCACAAGAATACTAAAAGTTTTGCCACGCTGGGCCACTTTTTACGTGAGTTATTTACGAAAACCTGAGGGGTGGGTCCATCTAACGGCTAACCCCTCAATAAGTGTGAGGGCTTATTGCTTCCAGTCCCAAACACCGGGGAATAAAAACTTTTCCCGTGCTCCGCCGCGTTCTCATTTGACCGTAGCAAGATTTCCTCTTCAAGAATGAACCCGTCTCCCGAATAAAATAGTCCTTCTCCGTGTAGAAGCGTGAGCGTTTGACTGATTGAGAGGGCGACCTTCCGGGACGCTTCCTTCTCAAAGGAATTCATCAATGGCCATGCCCCGTTCGGGCTTCAGTCGGTGTTCGATTATAAAAACTGCATTGTCTGACCTCATTCCGTGGCTCATCTTAGGCAACATGCGGATGTGAAATGCTCTTTGTAGATAAAAAAACAACTGTAGGTATAAGAAAACTAAAATTAGTAACGTGGTGATCGTGGAGATAGTCTGGAATCTGGATTGTTTGTGTGGTACGCTTTTAGTGAAATTTCCTCATTTGTCTACATTATTGGTTTAACTGTGTGGCCCCCCCAGTGACGCGATTTCAGCTCCACTGGGGGGGGGGGGGGGCCGCGCCCCCCCCCCCCAGTTAACATGTTAGAGGAGGCCCTGACAACGTCTATGAACTTCCTGTGTCATGAGTCGACGCTGGATGTTCGCAAGCACTGCTGCCTTTTTCTGCGTCGATTCCAAAGCTCTGGTTCGAAAGTCGCTCTGGGTCTCTTCGCAGCATCCATAGCCGCTTAACTTTACAGAAGTTTAGCTATCCTTTTGTCTGATAATTAACTACTTGCGGCATGATCCACAACCAAAACCGGCCTTTCGGCTTCTCCAATGAGCGTCCGTTTTTCGCAGGACCCGCCCGCTGCCAGCCAATCACAGGCGTTTGCGTCCACCCCATAGCCAATCGCCGATAATAATGGCCGGCTGCCGACCAATCAGATCAACTACCTTGGGCCCTCCCTGGGGCGTTCCAACAATGCGACCCTCTTTTTTCGTCCCCCATTTAAATACAGCTTGGTATCGTCAGTCATCACTCGGGTTTGCCTAGCCCGAAACTGGTTACTCTCGGCCATGACCCGCCCCGAGTGCCTTTTGACGCTGCTGCTGCCAGCGCTGTGCGCCCTGACCAGCGCGCAGATGGACAACCGACAACGTCAAGAGATGCTGGCGAGGGATAGGATGCAGTAGCAGCTGCACCGCGTGCTACCCGACCACCAACAGCCGAAGTTTGACTCTGACGACGGAGGCGACCACTACCCGGCCCGCACCAGCGACCACTACTGCAGGCTGTACGGAGGGCATTCGCTGTGTCGGGTGCCGCACACCCGGCAGAGCTGTGGCTTCGTGCGCCGCCGCCGGCTCTCTGTGGATGAGAGCGCCGCCATGTTACACAGGCACAACATGGAGCGCATGCTGGTGGCCCAGGGCCGGCGGCGCGGTCGGAACGGACAGACCCTGCCCAAGGCCGCCAACATGATGCAAATGGTAAGTAAATATTGCCTGCTTCCGTGGGACGGAGACGGGACTGTTCATTTGCGTTTCTTTAGCTTGTTTCGTTGTTGAGCGTTTTTAGCTTGTTTCATATTAGATGTTTCCTTATTATTTTTTTTTTTTTACTTTGTGAGTAATCGGGATATGTGGGGTGTGATTGATTAGGTTTTTAACGGTTTTTGTCTTTGTTAGTTTGTTGCAAATTAAACTTAATTCTTAGCGTCACGCTAAATTTGCTTTATTTTCAATGTTCATTCTCTAGGCATTGCTCGTTCAAGCCCATGTCTTTAGTGCGTGGGTACCTACCGGCAAAGGCCAGCACGGAAAGTTTTTAAATTGAACCTGCGGCTAACCGCCTTGAGCCTTTCCCCAGCTCACTCCTCATTTCACCCCTTGTTTCCTCAGAGCTACGACGTGGAGGTGCATGACGTGGCCCAGGGCGCTGCCGACCGCTGCTTGGGTGAACACGACTGCAGTCCATGCCGCAAAGTCGGTACGTAAAGAATTCAGCGATTGATAAGGACCCTTCTGAGGTCCTTATCAATCCAGCGAGACTTGTAAATTGACCACATTTAATGTCATAACAATGCCACTAAAGCTGCAAATTTTGAACGGTTTAGGGAATAAAAGTAAATCACAAAAAGTGATGTTCAAATCGTGGCATTTTTTAAGTATCCCATGTAAATGTAGCACTGGCCATGGGTGTCGTTTTGTAGAGGCTTGGCAGGGCTAGAGTCCTATACCAAAAATTTCATAACTTTTTATGGCGTTGCATGATAAGGATCTTTTTAGAATCCTTAAGTTGGAGTAGAACCCACCAATAAATTTCGGAAAGTTACACCGCGACATTGGCACTTGTAGTTTGCAGAATTTGATAAGATTTTGCCGTACGTCAACTTAGCTGGAGCAAGATAACTGAAGTCGAAGACGGTTGATATGCTATCTAATCTAATGTGCTATGCTATATAATGTGCCCAAAATAAGGAGCATTTCCTATGTACTTGAACAGGCATTTTGTTTTTGACTTGACACCACACAAATTGAAGCGTTGCACAAAATAGTGTTTTTGAGTTTGGTTTGGTAATTACACATAGGTATTCCTCATGTGCAGTGGTGGCACACCATTTCTGTCCCGCAACTGTGATACAAACTATGTATTTTTTATGTGTGTCATATTGCAGAAAGAGGAGATCTCGGGCAAAACTTTGCCGGGCACTCGGTGTTTATAAGCCCTTCCTCGCGAGAGGGCCTGCTCAAGATCGAACTGCCCCCATTGGACCAGACAGGCGGCTGGTTCATGCAGGCCGATCGTCTCAGCCCTTCAGAAGTCCACAGGTCAGTGCAGCTGAGCGGCCCAGGCTATCCTGAGCATCAGCAGCATTGCTTCGAACATCTCAGGCAATGATTTATCCTAGTAATGGGGTAGGATTCTCTCAAAGTGCGTGGTGTCTAAATTACGCAAGGGAGAATGCATTTCTCTTTAGTCGAAATGTATGCAGGTCCTGCAATATTACACGTCGGTTGTCTTAGGGTAGTTTCTTGGTGCTTGTATTTCCAGCCAACCCAAGGGTCTAATCAGGCTGGCTGGGTGTCCCATAAGACCCTCCCTCGCCCGCCCCCACGCCAATTTACCTATCAGTGCAGTGGTGCGTTTATGCGTTGTGGCCTCTCAGTCTGATCTTGTCCTCCGATCTGCGACAGGTTCCAGGGAGGCCACGGCGCTGGCCACTACACCCAGGTGCTCTGGGCCACCTCGGAGCGGCTCGGCTGCGGCTGGATAGAGCACGAGGAAAGGGGAGGTCTCTCGGTGAGTGATAGAATTAACCTATGAAGCATATAGGGTAGCGCTCTAGAATCGTAAATTCTCATCATTGCTTATGCCTCGTCGAATTTGAAGATGAATGAATACAATAATCGAATAGTTGTAGGTATTGACGATCACTTTGCAAACGCATGTAGCAAAGTCATTGCTTCAGATAAAATAACGAGTTTTCAAATTGTGTAGGTACTTGTACCTCCGTAGTTCTCAGTTCAATGTATTCTAATTCCATCTTTGTTTTGTTACAGGTCAAGCTGTTTTGCAACTACGGGCCTATCGGCAACATTATTGACCTCCCCGTGTATGTGGCTGGTGAGCCGTGCTCCGCCTGCCCGCGTGGAACAACGTGCTCGAGAGAGTACCCGGGTCTGTGCAAGCGGCTGTGAGCCGCCGAGCACGACTCGCCAGCAGCTGTCTTCTTTTTTATATTCGTTGCGTTTCGTTACTTGTAGGTACTGTTTAAATATGCCCTAAAAATTGTTTCCTGAACAAAATAAAATATTGTTTGTATTGAGATGTTTCTCGTGGTTGTTGAAGCACTACTATAGAGTGAATGACTGAAGGGAAGAGACTGGTAGCATACGCACATCAGCAAATAGTGGATTAGAGCGTGCGTCTGAAACTTATCGAATATCGCATCGCAACTTTATTCTTGCATCTTTTACTCGTGCTGTATCGAGGGTGGGAAAATGGTTCACTTCAGACTGCTTAGAGATGGGCGTCAATGCTTGGTCATGTGTTTTTGCCTTCATCGTATAGCATCCATGGTATAGCTGACTGCGAAGGGTGACACTTGTAATATTCTGAGAACGAAAGCAAGAAGGTCGCAGATGCATAATACATGGTGCTTTGAAAGGAGAATATTCATGCTTACCGCTATGCTTACCGCATCTTCAGAATTTAACGCTGCAATTGCTTCAAAATTGAATATTGCAGACGGTAATGGGTTTACTCACAGCTGATTAGATAGGCTGATCAGGCCATCCAGTTTGATAAACACTGCACATTTACCTAAATGTACCGCGGATACATGAGCCGAGTAAATGCGTATTATAAAGGGATTAAAATAATTATCAGCGAATAGGGTAAATCAGTTCATGATGCGTACTGCCTTCATTATTCATCAATGACCGTGCTGTCGAGTGTCGAGCATTTTTTTACGACTGAGCGTCATGTCAGCTAATACTCCTTTCAGAATTAGGGCAGTTTATTGCATTGAGGCTGATTCAAGCACGCTGGGACACGGGGTAGGGAAACATCAGCATGACAACGCACTTCTCCATACCTATCAGTACCGGTCGCAGGTACACCGCACTCTGGCAGCCAGAAACCGTAGTGGATTTTAGAATGTGCGTGTTCGATGGGTGTGATTGGTTTTACCATTATGCTTAAAATATTGCTGATATTGGGAATGAGTTTATATCACTTCAAAACCCTGTAGCAGTAGTCGTATGTCAAGAGCGATTCTCTTCATTGAGAGGAAATTAAACACTCACTTGCTCAAAATGGGTAATGACGTAAGGCAACTAACTCATGGTATAAGAAGATTAATGAACATATCCCTATCAGGACCAAGGTAAACGGCTACGTTCCATTGAGGCGAACATTGACATTTACCGGCAAGCAATATAAGCGCTCGGGCGCTCGCAATGGTGTGCCCTGTGATGTGTGTATGCATGATAAACATATTGTAACGGCAGTTTGTCGACGAAGGGGCGCCATTCACACTGAAAGCAAAGTGGTTGGGCGTGCAAAAATGTCTAAGAGTCCTTAGCGATTCTGGAACATTATGTCGTTCAATGGATGTTCATGAGCCTAAGCCGCGGACAAGTGCTTACTCCCACGTGTGCACGATATATGTACGCTGCCGATGGTCGTGTGACATAAGCAACAAGCACGCAATCGCTTGTTACATTTTTAACCAGCGCATGAATGGTGTATTTTCCATGGCGCTGGTGACCATGGGAGGGGGAGGGGCTCTAAAGAGCCCCACTCCTATATTCGAAACTACTGGACTGATTTTCAAAATACAAACGGCATTTGATAGCTATGGAAAAACTGTCGAATAAAACATTATTTTATTTACCTCGAAGTCAATAGTGATATCACAATGGGTAACAGTAGGTATGCAATACAAATCATAAATATTTTGGCTTGTTCACCATTTGGACGGTGACCAACGGCTTCCAAATCAGATCACTCATTTTTGTTTACGCCATAGTCAAGATATGTCTAAAATACTCGGGGCTACCGAAACTGTACTTATAATTTTCAGGTTACAGCTAGGTCATTCTAGGTCACAGAAATCTTACATAATGCACTGGTCACGTTATAGTTACTTACGTGTTTAATGTTCCATTTCGGCCAAGTATTTCGAAATAAGTGTCGTTGGTGTCATCTGAGGCCATTTTCAGCTGAAATAGCTAAGGTCATTTGTATGCAAAAAGTTTAAGTTTGAAGCAGAATCTAATCTACAAAAAATGCAGTATGAGCTCAGAAGCACGATTTTGCTATATTTTCCTTTGGTGTGCGATGTCAAAATTGTATTGAAAATGAACTTGAGTTATTGATAAGACTGAAATAGTGACTAGAAAGCGTTCCAATAACTTAACTATTTTTGAAGACACCGGGCTAAAACATTTCTAGATTTGATCATCGGTATGTGCTCTAAATCAAAATCATTCGTTTTTTAGTCAAATAGGTACTCAGCCCAATAATTCGAATACCTAGCTGATAGCTAATAGATTTGCGATATTCTCGAAAAATCACAAGACGAGTGATAAGACCCCTCCCCCCAACCCCCCAGCAGGGCGCAGTCGCTAACACGGAATACTGCCGCAGTAAGATTGTGGAAAAACAAGGACTTGATACCCTGACCCATCCTGACCGAATGACCATATACGTCATTCAGTTCGGTTCGGTTTATATATTAATCGGGCCATTTAGGAAGCCAACGCTGGTAAAAGTTCAAACTTGAGTCGCGTCATGTCCAGGTGTGGAAGTGCAAGTGCAATACGTATACGTCAAAAGCAACGCAAGTGGCGTAAAAAGATGTTTTAAGCCCCGGTGTGTGAGATTCGGCCACTGCTCCCCCATTCCTCCTCCCTGTGGGGATCCGGTGGGCGTCGGGCTGTGTCAGCCTCCTCTCCACAGTCCACTCCCTACTCATCCTCGCGGACCCAGTAGAGGACGTTCCCTGACTGTGGCGCGAAGTCGCGCAGCCACGGACTGTGCGATAAGTCGACCCGGCTGACGAGCGTGCCCCAGAAGGCCGAGTCGTCGCTAGTGGTCAGCACGTACTCCAGCTGCGGCGCTGTCGAGAAGTAGCCCAGGTTGATCCACGGCAGTCGGTCCTCGATGGTGTTGTGGTCAGTGGTCCATTCGCCGAACCGGGTCACCAGCTGGGTGGGGACGTCCGGCGCGTACCGAACCAGGGAGCTGACCCGGGGCGCCGACCAGATGCCGCCCCACTGCTGGCGGCCCGTCTCAGCCTGACCCTCCAGTCTGCGGGGAGAGAGAGAGAGAGAGAGAGAGAGAGAGAGAGAGAGAGAGAGAGAGAGAGAGAGAGAGAGAGAGAGAGAGAGAGAGAGAGAGAGAGAGATGGTGAGAGGATCCTTTTGCTCTGGGCACAGAAACAAAAGTAGGTAGCTTAACCCGCGCGGGGCTGGGGGGGTAAATTTTACCCCCCCTCGCGAATTTTTGCGATATCTCAAAAACGGCGGCGCGCAGCGCCGCCAAACTTTCAGTACCTTTTCTTACATCAATTTGACACCTTCCCTGAAAATTTGAGCGAAATCCGTCGGAAAATTTTTGAGAAATTGACGTTTTAGTGACGTCATGTTCGCCATTTTCGCCTCAAAAACGGCAAAAGTTCAAACGCCGCTAACATCTTCATTTTTAAAGGCATCAAGACGTAACAAAAAAGGTTATACGTAATTTTACTTTGTCTATCAAATGGCTATCTCGGTTTTTTGAAAATTTTGGATTTTGGCCTAAATTTTTTCAAAAAACTGATTTTTTTGGGAAAATCATTATAAAATCCAAAATTTTGAGTCTATCGAAAAAACCGGAATATATGTCAGAGAAGTGGTCTATGTGCACCTACATACCAAATTTTAGAAGAATCGGTTCAAAAATGTGGGAGTTATTCAAAATTTTATGACGTCACGACACACAAATTTTTTGATAAATGACTTTTTTGGAAGTTCTAGACCTCGTACGGAAACAAAAATAGCACCATTCGATTTGCCGTGAAAAACTGCATCAGATAGACACCTTTTTAGGCCTTAACAACCAACTTCAAAATTTGACCTCACTTGACCTGACCTTGACCTGACCTCGACCTGAAATTCATCCAGAGGTGGTCCATATCACTTATTGAGTGTGCCTATTGAATTCTATGAGTAAAATGACCCATAAAACATGTGTCGCACATGCCCTTTTCTATATTTTGTTTTTTGGTGACCTGACCTGACCTGACCTGACCTTGACCTTGACCTCTGAATGATATTGTATGCAACTAATATTGTCTTGGTAGCCTAAGAACACGTTTTGGGCGATCAGTCTCAGTCCATGACTCCATTCTTCGGCAACTACGGTGCAAGGCCGATACTGTAGAAACTTGCAATTTGTACCCTTGACCTGACCTTGACCTTGACCTCAAACTTTAAATTAAGTACATGTTTTAAGTAGTTCGTGATGAGAGCTTTCGATTGGCGTTTGAATTTTCCAAATCGGACCATTAGTTCGGGAGATAACAGGGGGGGTAAAATTTACCCCCCCCCCCCAGCCCCGCGCGTTCGGCTGGAGACCCCAGCCCCGCGCGGGTTAATATTAACTATAGTTTTCCGATATTTTCTGCGAACGGTTAGTGTAAAACGAAGTGACTGACAGGCGCTGACCTGTAGACGAAACGGTCCCCCGTCCCGAAGCTGAGGAGGCGGTCGCCCAGCTCCAGGATGGAGTAGTCTGTCGAGATGTTGGGCTGCTGCTGGTTCCTGCCGGTGACGAGGGTGACGGTGCCGTCCTCGGTCCAGGTGCTGGACACGGAGGACAGCACTAGCGTCCAGCCGCCGCCGTCCAGCTCCTGGTCACAGAGCACCGGCACCGGCCAGCCGGCCAGCTGGTACAGGCCACTGGGCGCGGCCGGCTGCTGGCGCAGCACCTGCAGACAGGTGCGCGGGCAGATGACGCCCAGCTTGGCGCCCAGCAGAGGCGCGCCCCCGCCCGGCGCGCACAGCTCCATCGTCTCCGGCAGCAGCTGACACACGCCGCCGGACACGTAGTTGAACGCCCAGCACGAGAGGTGGCCCTGGCAGAGCAGCGCGCAGTGCGTCACGCTGCGCACGGCAGCCTCTTGCAACGGTGTCGCAGAGGCGGCCACCCGATCTGGCGTGATGTCATAGCGCGGCAGGAGGCCGGCCAGCAGTCCCTGACACAGCAGCAGGGCGACCTGCAGCCGGAGTAGTCGGCACCACGCGGCAGCCATCCGCCGCTGCCGGCCGATTGCCAGTGGTTCACCCGAGTCCTGAGGTCTCCGCGCGTGAGTTCCGGCACCGGCCGCCAGCCGCTGTGGTACGGTAGCGCAGATGGCGGCGGCTAAAACTGGAGAGCGCAGTTGTGTCGCCTTGCCGACTTGCCTTTGAGCCGCCTGTTTTCCGGCACAAATACTCCTTTTCACTCCTGACCAGAATGCTGAACGGAAATAAGCTTCACCGATCTAAAGGTACTTTACTATACTGTGTTCGTCCAATGTGTAAGCAAGCACAATGTTCAATAATTGTTCATGCACCGTGAACGGTTGGCAGCCTCGCAGAGACCACGCCACATGCGACGCGCCCAGTTGCGGCCCGCGGACTGCATGCGGTGGATACTTTCGCCTGCGTGTGCGCCTGCGGGTATAGACCCAATATTCCCGCTACTGCCCGACGTCAATGGTGGACACCCAACAGTATCGCGTGCGTTACAACTGCCCAACTGAAACTGGCTCAAATGCTGCCGGAGGGAGCGTGCAGTGTGTGGGCAGGCGGGCACAGGCGACAGGCGTCGGAACAGGCGTGCTTGATAGTCACCGCCAATGCAATGCGGCCATTAAATTATGTGCTTTATATGCCTTCAGCCCAACCAGACCAGCCCCAGACGTGCATGCAAACTGCTAGGTACTTATACAGAAATGACGCTCGGTATGAGGCTTATGACAGATGTACCTATCGACTGAAAACCAGTGCCAACAGCAACGGCAAAACACTGGACTCATAGCTGGAAATGCGTGTAATGCAGTTTCAAAACCAAGAGTCTGGGCTAATAGGTATGTAGGTATGTCCAAAGGTACATATGTTTTCGATAGGCTCATGTGCCCATGTTAATTGCTTATGCATGTTATTGGGGTCAGATATGCCAGGTGCAATGCATGGAACCGAATGATGGATCGTGTTTCGTTGAACCTCAAGGCAAGCTAAAGTAACATCACTGACAGCCTCTTAATCTTCTAATACCATTAGTTTGTCTTCCGTCATTACCTACCTTGAGATATAGTGCGCCGCTCTAATTTCCTTGCAATCCAGAGAATCGCTCTTGACACACGAGAAATGATGCATGGTGATCATTTTGAAGTGATATAAAATGATTTCAAATATAAGTGATGTTTAAAGATGGATAATATAATTAACCACATCCATTGAACACTACCTACCTATCGACTGTTTCCCTATCTTTTTCCATATCCCTATCTTTTCTGGCCGCCCACGTGCCTGCAGCCGGCACTGCAGGGGCCGTGCGTTGTCATGCTGATTTTTTACCTGCCGGGTGATCGCCGTGCTTGATTAAGCGGTTCTAATAGCCCCAATGAAATAAACTGTCTTTATTGTAAAACGAGCCAACTAACATGACCTGCCTTACGGTCAGAGACTAGACAGCGGTCCTGAATGCATGATCAATGAAGTGAGTGTGACCAACAGCTCTCTATTCTATGGGCATTCGATGGGCATTTATCATTTTGAAATACACATTTACTCGACTCATGATTTGCCGATAAATATGCGTTTCGTTTCCAGACTGCGGACGGCTTGACCAGCCCAAGGTATCACCTCAAGACAGGCGCGGATACAAGGGGGGGGGGGGGGGCATGGGGGCCATGGCCCCCCCCCCTTGGCCGATTTTTTTCAAAAATAAAATAAAAAGTTAAAAAGTTAAAAAGCTGAAAAGGGGGCCTCCTGAAAATAAAGTGGCCGAAATCCGATGAGTTTTTTTTTTTACCTACCCACTTAGTTATTTCTTAGAAGAGTAGCTGAGAAGACTTCTTTGTTAGAAGATTGGTAAAGCTTTTCATAACTTGGAGGTCTCTTATACTCACAGAGATGACCACTTTTACAGGGCCTCCTAACCTGCACAGAGGGCCTCCAAGCCTGCACAGATGTTGAGATGTTGCCTGAACAGCTAGATAAGCTCAATAGACGCAGTTTTTTTTTGGGGGGGGGGGCCAACAGGTGGGATTATGGGGGGGGCCTCCTGGTTTCTAATGGCCCCTCCCTTGGAGATTTTCTGGATCCGCCCCTGCCTCAAGAATTATGTTGAAAACACGGACGTTTCCAATGCATTATGTTATGTTTTTGCGAATATTTTGGCTTCCGTTTTCGGAATGTCGCAAGCGTCTCACCCTTGGCAATCAGCACATACCGTAAAGGTAAAAACATTGACCAAAAATTGACGCCTTAAGTTCTTAGCAGTCTGAAGTAAACCGTTTTTGTTTTTCACCCTCGATGCAGCACGAGCATAAGATGAAAGAAAAAAATATGTGATGCGATATTTGTTTAGTTTCAGACGTAGCTTCCATACAATAGTAGGTATATACTATGCACGCACACTCTAATCCCCTTTATTCGCTGGTGCTGGCGAGTTACCATAGTCATCGTCACCCTCTGGATCGACGCTTAGTGCCTCAACAGCCACGAGAAACAATGCAATACATACGCCATTTTATTTTACAAGAAACAATTTTTAAGACAATTAAAAGCAGTACGAGAACCGCAACAAAACAAAGAACCAGGAAAGTTAAGGGACAGTTGCTGGCGAGCCGTGCTCGGCGGCTCACAGCCGCTTGCAGAGGCCCGGGTATTCCGTGGAGCACGTGGTTCCACGCGGGCAGGCCGAGCACGGCTCACCGGCTTGATACACGGGTCGGTCGAGACCATTACCCGTGGGTCCGTAGTTGCAAAACAGTTTGACCTGGAACAAGACAAACATAGAATTAGAATACATTGAGGTGATAATTATGGCGTACAAGTATTAAGCTTAAACTCGTTATTCTATCAGAAGCACTGACTTTGCGAAATACATTTGGATGGCAAATTATATTCCTAATTTCACAGGACTTCAGCAAGGACGATTGAGGTTTACGAATCTAGGATGCTCTCCTGGATGCTACATATAATTATTCATCACTCACCGAGAGAGCTCCTCCGTCCTTGTGCTCTATCCAGCCACATCCAAGCTGATCCGCTACTGCCCAGATCACTTGGGTGTAGTGACCAGCGCCATGACCTCCTTGGAAACTGTTGCAGATCGGAGGATAAGATCAGACTGAGAGGCTTCTTAACGCAACACTGATAGATTTATTGGTGTGAGGCAGGGAGAGGTTGCAGGCTAGAGGACATATGGTCAATCTGAAGAGACCCCCGACCTGGTTGGAAATACAAAGAAACTCCTGACCATTGATAGTGGTATTGCCGGACCTGCATACATTCCGACTACGCTACCATCAGGTAAGAAAGAATCATCCACAATTATCAACAGAACATTCTGAATCATAGCCAACGAATGATTATTCTATATTGATTCAACGAGACTAAGCAATTATACCGCCGCTCAGGACCGCCTGGGCCGTTTAGTCGCACTGACCTGTGGACCTCTGAAGGGCTGAGAAGATGGACTTCCTCAAACCAGCCGCCTGCCTGGTCCATTGGGGGCAGATTGATATCGAGCAGGCCTTCTCGTGGGGAAACAGGCCTCGTAGACCCGGCGAAGTTTTGCCCAGGATATATTCCTGATGCTGTAATATGACATGGGTATGAGAAGAAGCAAGAGTTTGGACGACTTCCAGAACAGATATGATCCTCAACTACCAAAAAAAGTTTCATAACATTCCTCAAAACAATTGGGTTATGCCTAACTTGATACGGTGCTCAAATAAAATGAATGTTTGCTAAAGTAATGATCTGTATGTATTTTGTGAGCACCTATACAAATACGTAAGGAAGCAAACAGTTTTCCGTCGAATCGCGCCATCAACGTTACGCAATATATGTATAATCCCATCAAATGCTAGTGTGCCAATAAAACATCCTTGCTTCAAAACCAGAGAGCGTAGCACTAAACAGTCCTGGGCAGAGGCTTTTCGCTGGATATACGTACCGGCTCGGCGGCATGGGAAGCAGTCGTGACCTCCCAAACATCGGTCGGCAGCGCCCTGGGCGATGTCATGAAGCTCCAGGTCGTAGCTCTGTCGGAACAAGGAGGAAAAGTGTGAGCAGTGGACCGCGGAAAGCTCAGGCGGTCGCAGGTTCAATACATATTTTCGTGGTGGCCTTTGCCGGTGTCCACGCACAAAAGACATGGGCTTGAACGAGCAATACCTAGAGAACGACCCTGAAGAATGAAACAAACCTAGCGTAATACTACGATTTTGATTAGTGAATTTGCAATAGCTACTAGCAAAGACCGTTAGAAACTTAACCGAACATTAAATATACCGAGTAACTACAAGATAACGATCAGAAGCAGGAAAAAGTATATCAAACATCAACTAAGGTAATGCCACAACCAGTCCGTCTCCGTCCCACGGAAGCAGGCAATATTTACTTACCATTTGCATCATGTTGGCGGCCTTGGGCAGGGTCTGTCCATTCCGACCGCGCCGCCGGCCCTGGGCCACCAGCATGCGCTCCATGTTGTGCCTGTGTAACATGGCGGCGCTCTCATCCACAGAGAGCCGGCGGCGGCGCACGAAGCCACAGCTCTGTCGGGTGTGCGGCACCCGACACAGCGAATGCCCTCCGAACAGCTTGCAGTAGTGGTCGCTGGTGCGGGCCGGATAGTGGTCGCCCCCGTCGTCAGAGTCAAACTTCGGCTGTTGGTGGTCAGGCAGCACGCGGTGCAGCTGCTGCTGCATCCTACCCCTCGCCAGCATCTCTTGCCGTTGTCGGTTGTCCATCTGCGCGCTGGTCAGGGCGCACAGCGCTGGCAGCAGCAGCGTCAACAGGCACGCGGGGCGGGTCATGGCCGAGAGCAACCAGTTTCGGGCCAGGCAAACCCGAGTGATGACTGACGATACAGAGCTCTATTTAAATGGGGGACGAAATTAGAGGATCGCTTTGATGGAGCACCCCAGGAAAGGTCCAATTTAGGTAGTGTCCGTCCGATTGGTCGGTAGCCGGTAATCGGTGCCGGCCATTGGCTGGCGGATGGTCGCAAACGTCTGTGATTGGTTGGCATCGGGTGGGTTCTGCAAAAAAAAAAAAAAAACGGACGCTCATTGGAGAAGCCGTAAGGCCAGTGGTGGATTATGCGCAAGTGATATCACTAGACTTTAACCCGCGCACCGACGGGGGGCGGTTATCCGCCTCCCCTTGAGGTTTTTCGTGAATAGCGGGAAAACCGCGACGCGTAGCGCCGTCAAATTGGGCATGACTATTTTTCTATCAATTTTACACATGGCGTGCAAGTTTAAACTTCCTAACTGTTAAGGTCAGGTCACCAGCTCACTTTGAATGACCCAACCTCAAGTCAATTTTTTGCAACTTTGCCAGTGTCAGAGCTACATTAGATGACGGAGACCTTTGAAAGTCGCAGGATGTTATAAGGTCAGTGGTAGCTACAATTTTTGTATCTCGGAATTTCGATATCGATGACCTAAGATCAGGTCAATTTCTCGACCTCCCCATTTTAACCCGCGCGGGGCTGGGGTCTCTAGCCGAACGCGCGGGGCTGGGGGGGGGGGGTAAATTTTACCCCCCCCCCCTGTTATCTCCCGAACTAATGGTCCGATTTGGAAAATTCAAACGCCAATCGAAAGCTCTCATCACGAACTACTAAAAACATGTATTTAATTTTAAGTTTGAGGTCAAGGTCAAGGTCAGGTCAAGGGTACAAATAGCAAGTTCCTACAGTATCGGCCTTGCACCGTAGTTGCCGAAGAATGGAGTCATGGACTGAGACTGATCGCCCAAAACGTGTTCTTAGGCTACCAAGACAAAATTCGTTGCATACAATATCATTCAGAGGTCAAGGTCAAGGTCAGGTCAGGTCAGGTCAGGTCACCAAAAAACAAAATATAGAAAAGGGCATGTGCGACACATGTTTTATGGGTCATTTTACTCATAGAATTCAATAGGCACACTCAATAAGTGATATGGACCACCTTTGGATGAATTTCAGGTCGAGGTCAGGTCAAGGTCAGGTCAAGTGAGGTCAAATTTTGAAGTTGGTTGTTAAGGCCTAAAAAGGTGTCTATCTGATGCAGTTTTTCACGGCGAATCGAATGGTGCTATTTTTGTTTCCGTACGAGGTCTAGAACTTCCAAAAAAGTCATTTTTCAAAAAATTTGTGTGTCGTGACGTCATAAAATTTTTACTAACTCCCACATTTTTGAACGGATTCTTCTAAAATTTGGTATGTAGGTGCACATAGACGACTTCTCTGACATATATTCCGATTTTTTCGATAGACTCAAAATTTTGGATTTTATAATGATTTTCCCAAAAAAGTCAGTTTTTTGAAAAAAGTTAGGCCAAAATCCAAAATTTTCAAAAAACCGAGATAACCATTTGACAGACAAAGTAAAATTACGCATAACCTTTTTTGTTACGTCTTGATTCCTTTAAAAATGAAGATGTTAGCGGCGTTTGAACTTTTGCCGTTTTTGAGGCGAAAATGGCGAACATGACGTCACTAAAACGTCAATTTCTCAAAAAATTTCCGACGGATTTCGCTCAAATTTTCAGGAAACGTGTCAAATTGATTTAAGAAAAGGTACTGAAAGTTTGGCGTCGCTGCGCGCCGCCGTTTTTGAGATATCGCAAAAATTCGCGAGGGGGGGTAAAATTTACCCCCCAGCCCCGCGCGGGTTAAGTCAATGGGGGAAAAATCAACTCCCTGTTTTCCACTAAAACGAGTCAAAATGGCCTCATATACCATACATGACTTCTTATACGATCAACCTTCACTACCTTGAGGCCTGTTTTGCTGTTGGCCAGCTGTAAGGTCATGTGACGTCATCGAAGATCACCAACGGTTTTTGCCAATAACTCCTTACATGAACGAGATACAGCCGCGCGGATGGTCTCATTGTGTTCAGCTCATCAAGGCGCATCGATTGATATACATGATGACCTCGAGGTCACGTGACCTGAGGTCAACCTTTGACCTTGACCTTCCGAGGTCAACATATATATGATTCGATGCGGATTGACGAGAGGATCACGATGATGCCCCTAGTTTGCTCCTAGCTTGACTAATTCGAACGTTATTTTAGAAAACTATCCATATCTAGCGCCACCATTTTGACTTTTTTGACCCCTGTGACGTCATCTTTGACCTGACCTGAAAATAACCCTTGTAAAAAATTGTAGACCTTGTCCGTGCGTACCCCATGCCGTTTACCACTTGTCACTATCCTGCTTCGTTCTCAAGATCTCAGGGGGGGGGGGGCGGTCATCCCCCCGTCGGTTGTAAGTTGGCGCAGACCCGTAAAAGCCCACACAAATTAGTTGCATCACAGAATCGAACCCAACTTCTTTCGGACAAGGTTACTCTGACGTCGACCTATTGGTCGACGCGATAACAGATCGTATTCGAGGCGACTCCTTCGCTATTTCTGTTTTAGTTCGATTGAGTGATAAATCATATGCGATGTAATAGGCGATTTGATATAAGCGTGATAAGATGAGAAGCTGGCTTGTATGATAGACCGGCGGGTGCCGCCCTCGCCCCCCCCCCCCCTATAGGTTTTTGTCGCGATAGCTCCGAACACGCTGGCGATAGAGAGCTGAAACTTGGCATACCTGACCTTTGATTCAAGCCGGATCTTTTGACAACAATCGCATTTTCGGGTCAGGTCAGGTCACTGACCTATGACGTCATAAGTGAACCTCTGCACGGTCTTCAGATGTCGCAACTTCGCAACGCCCTCACTGTCAGAGGAGCTTTTACAGGGAAATGAAACTTGCAGGATCTAGTATCCATTACGAGTCTCACAACTTGTATATCTCGGATTTTTCTTAAAGGTCATATGAGGTCAGGTCATTTTCGTGACCTCATCATTATAAGTCAATGGGGAAAAATGAAAACTGCTATTCTGGCGCCGGGAACGATCTCTAACTATCTCAAGCACACAGAATCGTGATTTGATGCGCTCCTTGCAAGGTTAGATGCGTCACTTTTGCAATGTTGACCTTGCGTGATGATCATATTAGCTTTTCGCCAATAATGTTGCGGGAGCTGAACACACTCAGACTCGATGCTTTACTGTATTATCGGCAGAGGCCCAAACAAGAACCACAGAGCCAACCGCTCGTAACCACGGTCTCCCTGCCTCTCTCGGGCCGCCGACCGCCCAGCCAGCGCCAGCCCTCGACCCCGCCCGAGGGCCACGCGGCAGGGGCGGCGCCGGGCGCGGCCAGCCGGGGAGGCGCCACGGGCGGCGCCAGGCATGCCACAACGGGCGGACACAGCCGCCCGTAACACCCCTCCCCCCTCACGGAAACAATCATACATTGAACAATGCGACACTTACGACACGCTATTTACATTACAACTATATACACAATCACAGCCTTCACCACCTCCACCACACTCATAGTCCCGCCTGGAACCTTTCAGGTGGTCGCGACACTCGGCCTGATCTGGTCACGTATGACATTGGCGGCAACATTCCCCTCTGAGCGACGCCCACATCACCAGATGGGCCAGCTCTCCCGAGTAAGTGCATTAGCGGCACCTCGAGCAGAACGCCATGCTCGTTACCACAGTCGCTCACGGGATCCACCCCCACGGCCTCACCACGTCCATTTGGACCACTCGGATCCTGAACTGGCTGCAAGTCGGTCCGACGAGGGATGAACTCCTTGAGGTCGTTGTGGTGCACGACGCGTGTCTTGCCGCGGACGTCCTGTATCCGGTAGGTAACTTCCTCCCCCGGTGTGCCTCTTCTCTCGACGATGGTCACCGGTCCTTTAAACGGCAGACCCAGCTTCGGTTTTCCTCCCACAGCGGCAGTGTGGTCTCGTACCCACACCTTCAAGCCCGTTGGGTACGCGGTAAAATTGAGTTTGCTGTCATGGCGAACCGCCATTCGAGCAGCTGATTGGGAGGAGGCTCTCCTCACCTGTGCGAAGACCCGCTTCATGTTCTTCAGCCGTTTGTTCAGGAAGGTTTCAGCTGGTATTGCGACTTCATCGGTTCCGTACATTACATCCAGAGGCAACCGAGGCTCAAAGCCATGGATCATGTAGAAAGGTGTGTGACCGGTGGTTTCGTGGAGGGAAGAATTGTAGGCCATGGCGTATGATCTGGTACTTTCGTCCCAGTCAAGGCCCTGGCTGTCGATGTATTTCGACACCATGTCTTTCAGGGTCCTCATGAAGCGCTCCACCATCCCGTCGCTCTCAGGATGATAAGGCGTTGTTCTAGTCTTGTGGATGCCGAGCCTCTGATACAGCTCACGCATCATCAGAGATTCGAATTGAGCGCCCTGATCTGTGTGAAGCCTCTCGGGAACACCAAGCTCCTGAACCCAGTGAAGGAGTGCCTCCATCACCGTTTCTGTCTTCTGATTCGGCATCGGGAAGATTCGTACGAACTTTGAGAAGTAATCCATGATCACGAGCACATATCGGTTGCCTCTTCTCGACACAGGCATCTCCGTGATGTCCATGGCTATTCTCTGGAAGGGTCGTGAGGTAACCTCGGTAACCATCGGTGCTCGTCTTTTGGGTGCCGGTCTGTACCGCCGCTGACACGGCGTGCACGAGGCACAGAAGCTCCGGATGTCCTCATTCATCCCCGGCCAGACGAATCGAGCCTTCACCCGGGCGATGGTCCGTCTGCGACCCATGTGCCCGCTCGATGGATCATCATGCGCCAGTCGGATGATCTCGGCCCGTTCAGTTTGAGGCACCGCCGCCTGGAACTGTCGACCCGAGGCAATGCCGATTACTCCATTCATGACGCGCACCTTGCTCCAGTGTTTTCGCAGCACTCCCCACCCAGCGAACGCTGCAGGCCTTGGCTTCTCCTTCCTCTCGTGTGCTCTTCGGAGAGCCGACAGCGTCGCGTCACTGGCTTGCGCCTGGGCGATTGGAGGGAGGGTCCGTTCTTGGACTGATTGTGACACAGCGACTGATACAGCAGCCGGTTCCTGCGTAAGCCTTGAGAATACAGCAGTTGGAGCTACAAGAGTCACAACCGACTCAGGCGAACCGCCTTCCGTCGGCGCGGCCGA